ACGAAGACGAAGACGGAGGAGACGGCGGTGAGAAGGAGAAGACGATGAGAAGGAGGAAGCGATGAGAGGGAGGAAGCGATGAGAAGAAGGAAGCGATGAAATCCACGGGAATGGATTTCAAATCCCGTGTAAGGGTGAAGGATTCTCAAATCCAGTGTTGGTGGGATTTCAAATGAATCCCGGGATTTGAAATCCGATTATTTCTACAAACCAAACGTAGGATTGGAATGGATTTCAAATCCAAATCCCTCCAAATCCCTCCAAATCCCTCAAACCAAACGCGCCCTAAGGGTGTTGACATTCCAGCCTTTCTTTTGGCTTTCATGCCACATATATTTCGAGTGAAAATATACGAAAAATAAATAAAAAAATCTTGTATTTTTTTTATTTATTCTTTTTTTAGAATTGAGAAAACAGAGACAAGTGGGCTCAAACTGCTGACATCCGTCGCATGGTAAACCACCGCCTCTCAGGTCCCAAAGAATAGTGTCGTTGAGTTTCTCGACCCTTTGCCTTAGGAGTAGTCAGCTCTATTTCTCGATGGGGGTAGGGAAGGGTTATAACTCAGAGTAAGGTATTATTGCAGGTCAATCTATTGGAGAACCGAACACTCAATTAACATTAAGAACTTTTCATACCGACGGAGTATTCACAGGATGTACTGCAGAACATGTGTGAGTCCATAGTTCTAAGACAAATGAGACAGATAAGATAGACCGAATTGATTATCTTCATGCATAAGGATACTAGATTATCTAGTAGAAAATATTTGAAAATGGGGGAAAGCTCTCCGTTCCTGGTTCTTCTGTAACTGGATCCTCCGGAACCCTCACAGCCCAGGCACAATGACGCAAATATCAGGTGTAGATGCTACATAGTTGGTTCTCATGCTTCAGAGGAACCATATCACATCCCGAAACTGATGAAAAATATGAATCAACACGTTCAATAAAAAATTGTATCCGTAGATAAAGAAACATGAACAACCATTTGATCCCTATTTTCTACTTTGAAACTTAAACAACATGGTTTTAAGTTTGTATTTTTAAACTTACAACGAACTCAAGTAAGTATTTGTATCACAATCCAGTTTGGAATCTGACCAATAATCTGATGTTCATCTTGTAAGTCTTTACAGAATGATCTATGAAATAACAGTCAATGTTGCTCAAATCTTAACCAAAACCAAACTGTTAAGCTTATTTCGATTTCTCATTATATGTTAATTTTAATTTTTTTTGGTTTCAATTCAACTTGATTCAGTCCGATTCCAAACTGATACACACACCTAGAACCAAATGAACCGATTTCAAGATTTTCAAACCGGTCAAATTGCTTTAGTTTAACTTACTCATATGGTTTGGACCGCAGTTGTTTATTTCAATTAATTTTGATTTCATTTTATAATAACTAGAAGTGTACTCGCGCAATGCAGCGAGATACATCGTGATTTTAATATTTCATTTTATTCTTTATCTTAGTCGATGTTATAATATGACTTTATGTGATTTTAAGAAAGCGATGATGTTTTTATTTTTGAATAAAATATATGTTTGACGATATCATAAAAATTTGACAAAAATATATCGATATTAGTATCAAATTAACTATTTGAAATTCCTTATTTTTTGTGTAATTTTTTAATCCAATTTT